TCTCTCTCTCTCTCTCTCTCTCTCTCTCTCTCTCTCACTCTCTCTCGCTCTGTATGGATTCGGGAAATGATTTAAAGAATATAAAAAAAGGACAAAGGAGTAGAGAAAGGATAAATAACCGAAAAAATGGGACATGAGTGAGGGACGAAGGTGGGACCAATAAGGAACAGATTAAGGACAAAGGAGGGACAAGTAAGGGACCAGGTTGGGACCAATAAGGGCTAAAAATGGGACAAATGAGAGACGAATAAAGGACAAATTTGGAATGAATAAGGGACAGACAAAGGACAAATTCCGGACAAATTAGGAATAAACTAGGGTCAAGTTAAGGATAAATAAAGGACAAAAAAGGGACAAGTTTAGGACGACTAAAGGATAAAAAAGGGACAAGTTAAGGACGAATGAAGGACAAATAAACGACAAAGAAGGGATTCATTAGGTACAAATCGAGGTCAAATTAGGGACAAATAAAGGACAAAAAAGGGACAAGTTTAGGACGACTAAAGGATAAAAAAGGGACAAGTTAAGGACGAATGAAGGACAAATAAAGGACAAAGAAGGGATTCATTAGGTACAAATCGAGGACAAACAGGGACAAGTTTAGGACGAATCAAGGATAAAAAAGGACAAGTTAAGGACGAATGAAGGACAAATAAAGGACAAAGAAGGGATTCATTAGGTACAAATCGAGGACAAACAGGGACAAGTTTAGGACGAATCAAGGATAAAAAAGGACAAGTTAAGGACGAATGAAGGACAAATAAAGGACAAAGAAGGGATTCACTAGGTACAAATCGAGGTCAAATTAGGGACAAATAAAGGGCGATAATCACTCACGAGTTTCCAATGAACAATTCAGTTGAAAATAAAAATAATACAACGACATTGCTCGGGGTGGGATGGTCTCTTTCCGATTGAATTGAATAGATGTCACTATGATGATTATAAAAAAAAATTCAAGAGGTCGAATGGTTTAGGAGATATCTGCAAAAAAATGATTCTTGAGGAATCGCTGTATCTCAGGAACCGCTCATCTGATAGAATTTAAATTTAGCCCGCGTTTGAGTCTCTGTAGCATCAATCAGCAGCCAGAATTTTAGCTTCTTTGCCTCAATCTTTCTCGAGTCATGAGCACAGCTCTGGACATACGAACACGAATGTGCACACATGCATACGTACATCCAGACATTTTTTAAAAACATCATTTCTTCATGTTTTGTGATATTTCCAGCCATTTCGTCCCAAAATTAGGGAATCGAAAGAAATCAGAATTACATAGAATAGAATTATATAGAATTACATTTGGAAGCATGATTAGGGCTGCGCACGAGACGAGACGAGACGAGACTTTTGAAAGTCTCGTCTCGGTCTCGGAAAAAATTCGAAAATTTGATATCGTCTCGGTCTCGTCTCGGTCTTCGACATTGTTGTCTCGTCTCGGTCTCGCCTCGGTCTCGTCTCGGTCTCGTCCCATTTTCTGGAAAAATTCATCTTTTCTTGTGCTAGTATTTTTTTTTTTTGAATTTCCCTCTCGTCTCGTCATAGTCATGATTGATTTTACAGTAGTCAAAATGATGTTTTTGATACGAACACTTTATTTTCTCAACGTTTACAACTACAAAATTATGAATACAATATGTACAATGTGTACATTATCTATATTATATATATTTGTATAATCTTCTTTCAAAACTTAATACTTATGAAGTCAAAGATAAAGGCTAAACAAGTTATGGGGCATTTATGAACTCTTTGAACTCGCAAGATGCCCAAGAATGCAAACACAGTAAGGCTCGAGCCGATTTGTCACTCATGGAATTTCTGAGATTGGTGATGATCAGACCAGCAAGGGAAAATAGTCTCTCAGCAGGCACTGATGTTGCTGGAATAGAAAATAAATCTCTGGCCATCTTTGCAAGAGTAGGGAATGTACTTTCTCTTGCTCTCCACCACTCAAGTAAATCTTGGTGTTTGTCAGCTCTTGATAGATTAAGATACTCCTCGAGTTCATCTCTCCAATGTTTCGTTTTACATGAATCAGTGAAAATTGAGTTCAAATCAATTCCCCCAGGCTTCAAGTGATCATCATTCTCCTTACTGCTGTTCTTCTTTGTCTCCTTTTCTGTATTTTCCTCTTCTACAGTTTGTTTTTCAGGTTTGGTATAATTCTCTTTGTACATTCGTTCGAAAAATGCCAGAGATTCCTCCTTCATCTCTCTACCCCATTGAGTTTGTTCAAATGTAGAAACTTTATGTCTAGGATCCAGAATCAGGGCAGCACAATATACCCAATTAGTTTTGTTGTAATGTTTTATTATTTTGTCTCTCGCTGCTTGGAACGCTTCGATGAGGATTTCATCAACCTTCGTCCTTTCCTCTTTCAAATCAAGACTCGATGTTGTGGATTTAATTCGATCCAACAACATATTGAAAGCAACAACGACGAGAGGTAATGTAACATATTTTTCTGCTCCCAAAGTCTTCGAAAGATGATCAAAGTCTTTGAGAAAGTCATGAATCCGTGTCAATAAGATCCACTCGTCTTCACTCATCTTCAAACTCGCGACTTCTTCACACTCAGACCACAACAAATTTAAGCCTTTCTTCATCCTCAATGCTGCATTGATCATATAGTCCGTGCTTCCCCACCTCGTGCTCACATCCAAAGGAGGTTTCAGATACTTAACCCCAGCAGCATTGCAAAAACTTCTCAGCATATTCTGAATTTTCTGTTTTTTTTATTTTTTTGAAAGTATTTCTCAATTTGATAGCAGATGTACCAGGACTTAATTCAGAGAAAACCTCATCCTCGGATTCTTCATCTGAAGACTC